GGTGGGTTTATGGCACCTTAAAACCAGATTGCTCATTTTAGGTGGTGTTCATTGTTCATTTTATTGTCACCCATTTCTCAGTTCTAGCCAAACTCCTTTTGCTCTTGCAAAAGGTGTGAAGGCAAGCAATCTGGTTTTAAGGAGCCAGAAACCTGTGCCGCTGTGTTCAGCCTTTTCAAGGAGGTGTCCTTGTTGGATCACGGTTTACTATTTTTGGTAAACGTGTTTCCTATAGGCATGCTGATGAGCCAAGGTATAGGGCGAAACAGTCTATATATTAATATATCATATGCTGAACATTGGCAGGTACGAAAATTATGTCATTTACGCATTTGTAGTTTGATAAAACAAAATATCTATGCTTCCACAAAAATTGGACTATCATCCTGACATCAAATGACGTCATGTGAAATGACGTCATCACGTTTTGCGTCATCGATGACGTCATAAAATTTTGACTAACGTGCGAAAAATCCTAGATCCGCCCCTGAACCAAATGATATATCACTTTTGCATCATGCTGTAGTACATCAACACAAAAGAACCGGGTTTAACCATAGAGGGTTCAGACCACCTGATAAAGGAGATTGACAGTAGCACAGCTATACAAGAAGGTATATAATCAGTACCATGTAATGTTTTTTGAAGATAAACTCTTTTGATGTATTACATCGCTGCTGTGGGATTGGTTTATCTGCAGTGGTCTGCATGTTACTGGGTCCAAATGCATTGTCGTGGGTAAATTGCCTAAAGCAATATAGTTATAGGGCAGAAGAAACTCTTAAAACTGAATTTAGTTGTTACTACTGTATACCGTACTGTCTAATGAAGTGATTTTAGTCAATATAGATATATACATATGTTGTTGTTGTATATGTATAATTAATATAGCTAGCTATACTGTACACAGGGCTGCCTAGAGAATTTGTGGTGCCCGAGGCAAACCTTCCCTGGGGTAGCCTCCTCCGCAGCCCTCTCTATGGGTTCTAGCCTGCGAATGGGTTTAAAAAAAAAATTTTCTGGGAGAGAGGCCTGCCATAAATCGAACAAAATGGACGTGTCAATGTACCTTGTGGCCGTGTCAATGTACCCCACCCCCTAAGTAGGCTTTTAACCCTTATTATATATTCAGTTTGAAATCTTCGGGCGAGGAGCGAAGCTTGCGATTTTAAAAACATTAAAAAGTTTAAAAATGTTTTATAATGCGTCGAAATATTCAAGCTATACGAAAATTAGTTGGTCAATTGAAAGGATTATATGTCGCAATGTCTCTCGCGGTCTAAAAACGACGTGCAAATTCTGAATCGCTCGCTCGAAGCAGCCAAGACTGCCAAGTGTTTACAAATTATGTCTACAAATATGTATTGAATGTACTTTATGGATTCAGAGTTCCGCTCAATTGTTCAGCCGAAGAACTACAATTTGAGGAAATTATCTGGCATAATTTCGAACACAAAACGAAGAATGGAACGATACGAAAGGTATAATTTGTTTAATAAAGGGATTATATTAAATTGTATTGTTTTCTGGAATAATATTTTGACATGTCTAAGGCCAGTATTAAAAGGGGTTATAATTTTGATTCTATTTCATTAATTTTAGTCAAATCATCAGGCATTTGCCAACATGCTCAGTGAATTGATATATAGAAGGAAAAGATCCTTCTGTTGAAGCAACCATTTCAATAAGTGAGGAGAGAAATATCAAATACAGAAATTTGATTACTACGAACATGAGAACATCAAGATTTTGTTGGCATCTTAATAAATTATAAGCTTGGTTTACATATGCCTGCGGTATGCCTGCACTATCATTGTTTACAGCTGTTGATGCATACATTCTTTTGTGAGTTATTTAGTTTATACATTCTTTTGTGAATTACTTCTAACGACAATAGCCTGCCAACGTACCGCAGGTATATGTGAACCAGGCTTCACTTGGTTGAATAGTTAAATTGGAATTGCAGTTTTTTTTAACTCCCTCACCCCCTTAATATCATGTAAATATGCTAAATCCATTAAGTTGCATTGTGGTACCATGCCCGTGAAAAGCAGTTGGCAAATGTAACAACCTCTTTCTAATATAGTATATGCCTAGTTGTGTTACACTTACTGGCCACATGACATAATATCCATGATTTGATAAATAAAAGAATTTATGATGTATCTGCATATTCTCTAATTATATGTATCTCCCTTGTTCATTTTCAAATAAAATTGCTCTTGACATATATTGGTTTACTGTAGTTCCAATTGAAGTGTTGCTGAAATATTGATTCAATACATTACCTCGGGCTGACCAATTCATTTCATCAAGTTCCTCGAGATATTCATTCACTTCCTAGTATAATTGTAAACTTCCTGTTGAATAGTTTGAATGCACCAATCACCTTTGTTGTTTGTGCAACTAACCAATCATAAATAGAAAGGAAGTGACCAGAAATGATCAAATACTTGGAATTGGCTCTTTCACAGGAAGTGTATGAATATCTCGAGGAACTTGATCAAATGAATTGGTCAGCCCGAGGTAATATATTGAATCAATATTTCAGCAACACTTCAATTGGAACGACAGTAAAATATAGGAAATCTAGGTTTTTCATGTAAGAGCCTACAATGCGAGGGGGCCACAACAAGTTCTCGTTGTCTCATCCCTGACATGGGAGTGCCTGCTTTCACTCTGTCTAACATCAGACAATTTTACTCTTCAATGGGAGAGTGCAGACAATGGGTTAATCTAAAGCTCAGGGATAGATTTACTGGGGGGTGCCCCCCCTAGCCCTGGCCAGTGGGGGTGCAGAGGTGCTATTTTTCATGATAAGCAAAAATTATTAGAGACAAAATGAGATACAGTAATTTGAGTAATAACATGATGATAAGCGAACTGTGAACAACAATTACAATTCAAATACAGTAGTCAAGCAAGACTTTGCAGTAGTGAAGCAAGTTGATGGACTGGCAGCACACATGACCGACACAACTCAGCACCACAGCTGGCAGAGCATCCCCCCCCCCTATCAGATCATGCCAGATCCATCCCTGCTAAAGCTTACCAAATGTATTCATTTTTGTAAACTTACAGTTAAAGATGCGGTACAGTCCGTATGTAAACAAAGGCTTTGTTTACATTTCTGTATGCAAAATATTGAATTTTATTCAACAACTATTTATATTTTCATGATTCAAGAGTATAATAAATTATTAAGAGACAACAATCAAGCTTTGCAGGAACATAAAATGAAATAAAAACCTAAATAAACTGTTTGTAAATAAATAGGGCTCCTTTGTGCACATGCACAGATCGGACTGTACCGCATCTTTAATATATAGTTCAATAATTGGAATTGGCACAGAGTGGTTGCTGTGTAGTGTGTAATGTAACAATAGCAAAACACTAGCTATCACTGGGAAGTTTCCTCAATGACTGTTTGTACGGTTACAACTTACATGGAAATTTGCCTTGCAAAATTGATGGATTTTACCCATGCATGTAAATATTTTGCATGTGAACTTTGGCAAGCAAGATGAATGTCACATAAACCGTCACTTGCAAAACTATTAAATTCCTATTAAATTCCAGTTGTCTTTTCTATTCCTTTATGTCTATTCCATTATATATGTCTAGGTATTACTCACACTCATATGTAAAACAGGGCCATTATTATCTAAGACACTCAAGTTTGAAAACTTTGTCTTTGTCCAAGGGATAAATTGCACAGTGTATTCCACAATATAAAAAACCTCTTTGTTTTAAAGACTTTTATTAATGATTTTCCTTCCATACAAGCGTATTAAAACAAGGCAAGAGGTATATATTTTAACTGATACCGAAGGCACAGATGTCAACAGTTGAATTTACATTTTAATAAAATGATATGGACAATTTTCGCTCGTTCGTTTTCGTGTTATAATTTCGAATGAATTACTGCAATTTCAGCTTTAATATTATGATATAAAATGTCGTCAACAAGTTGAGTAGAAATTTGTATATTTCAACGTTAAAACGTTCAATTGACACCCTGTCTTGACATGAATCGACGACAACGTGAATTCGCTGCTCTGGAAAGTCACTCGTTGAGTCGCTGTCTCTAAACAATCCCAGTAAATCGCTGCTTCGGCTCACGCCAACGTTCTCAGCTCCTTAGTCAAAGTTCCCTGTGTATTTACAATGTTAAAGAGCAGTATTATTCGTTAACTTTATAGTTATTCGTCTTTTATAAGCCATCGTGTTGAAAACAAAAATTTCGACACTCCTTGCTGTAAGCCTTTCCTACTCCCCCCTAAGTTTGCGTTTGTCGAAATTTGCATGCGCGAGCCGGTATGCGCAGTGGAAATTTTTGTGTCGATTTATGGCAGGCATCTCACCAAACTTTTTCCCACCACCCGATTCGTCGGGTGAGATGCCTGCGGAGGAGGCTACCCTGGCTGGCCCATGACATTATTTTTAAGCTAGACCCAACTAAACCTTAGCTAGACTGCATGTGGAGGTGCTGTAAGTGGCCCTCAATTTCAAAAATGCTCCTTATAGATCCTATTCAATTTTAGGTCCTTGCTCCAAGTTGGGGGCTTATTAAGGTGGGGGCCCAGGGCAATTTGCCCCCCCCCCTCTTGGCGGCCCTGACTGTACATGTGATTATTTTGATTATAGCTAAATAGAATATGCAACCCTATCGTAGAATGTGTTATATTTTGAGTGTATACCATATTGCTAACCCATTGAGCTGAATTGTGCCCTACTTTGTTGTTTTACTATCAATATATAAAACATGGCTTGTTTTGGCAAGACATGACATCCTTTTCACATATTGAATTTGACAGAATGTCATTTCTGCGATATATCGAAACAATGCCATTTCTTTGATGTATCAGAACCATGGATAGTTTAGAGTTTTCGACATATTGAAAAATGGCAATCTTTTAATATATAGAAGAAATGGCATTCTTTCAATATATAGAAGCCATGGATAGTTTAGTTTTCGATATATCGAGGAAATTGCAATCTTTCGATATGTCGAAGAAATGGCATTCTTTCGATATATCGAAGAAATGGCATTCTTTCGATATATCGAAGAAATGGCATTCTTTCGATATGTCGATGAAATGGCATTCTTTCGATATATCGAGGAAATGGCATTCTTTTAATATATTGAAGAAATGGCATTCTTTCAATATATAGAAGCCATGGATAGTTTCGTTTTCGATATATCGAGGAAATTGCAATCTTTCGATATGTCGAAGAAATGGCATTCTTTTGATATATCGAAGAAATGGCATTCAGCCATTCTTTCGATATATCCAAGAAATGGCATTCTTTCGATATATCGAAGAAATGGCATTCTTTTAATATATTGAAGAAATGGCATTCTTTCGATATATCGAAGAAATGGCATTCTTTCGATATATCGGGGCAATTGCAATCTTTCAATATATCGAAGAAATGGCATTTTTTCGATACCAGTATATCGAAGCATTGGATAGTTTAGAGTTTTCGATATATCGAAGGTGGCATGTGCCATGTTCTTGATATATAATTTTCACTGACTGTGGCTGCCTCCAGACATGTTTTGGAACTATAACATTTTCCTCTTTTTTTCCCTTTTATTCACATGCCTTTTACTCACTTTGCTAAAAACAATAAATTTTGCCCAAATTTTTTAGCAGTTTTTCCTCTTAGAGATTTAGTATCATTTTAGTCATATCTTGCAACTTGGAAAAGCTAAAATTGTTGCAAAATGTGTATGTTTTTGCTGAATATATTTCCCGTCATTTTTAACATGCATTTGATGTGATTTTCCTATTAAAACATGAAATCTGTCATTGTCCACATTTGCAATTATTCTTATGTTTTTTACCAATTTTTATCATGTTTGAAAAGGAATTCTTGTTTTCAGTGCAGAATTATTACATTTATGTATAATTTCTCCACAGTCATGGCTGTATTCATTGCATTTTTTAGTGTTTTCTTTCATTTTCCTCTCAAATTCTGTTAAATAGAATATTGGACCCTATATTAGAACGTGTTCTATCTAATATTATTAATACAGTCATATACAGGTATTATAATAATACATAAATATACAATTAAACCTCATATTAACTGAAAATAATTTCAATAACTGGCTGTCGATGCCTGTTCCTCTGTATATTTTGCAAGCTCTTCTAGTTCCTGTATGCCTTTTGGACGAAATTTGATAGTCGGCCTGGTTTAAATTTGCTTCCCAACATTGAATTTCCTTCCTCTGGCTGATCACTTCAGCTCGACTTGCCTTGAGATTGTATACAGGAGAATTCACCCAGAATTTGTGAGACTGCTTTTCAGAATTACATTTTCCTCTATGATTTGAACTCTTATTACACCTTTTACTTTTTCTGCATGTAGATAATGGACTAGCTGTAAATATCAATACACATTATAAATAAATGAAAATTAACGATATATTTCGAGACGAAGGAATCCAATATGGCGAACGCATATTGCTATAAATATGCAAATGAAACACGATTTCGAACGAAGTTTCTTACCTATTTCCTGAGCTTGATCCCAGTTTAAATGAAACAAAATAAGATGATTTCCAACTTTGATTTTACTTTTTTCTCCGAGAATGAGATTTAACAAAGTTATCGCGATTATTCGACGAAAATATTGCGAAATTTCCGGTTTTGTTGAATTTACACGGAATATATACATTACTAAGGAGGAGAATAAAAGTGAAAATGTGTTATTTCACTTTGCCTTTCCTAGGGGACCCTTCATTGTATATTTTGTCGCAAGCAGTCGCCATAGAAACACGAAATTTGTCTTAAGGTAGGGTCATGCAGTTCGACGTACGGGCATTTTAAACTTATTTCGCAACATATTGGGAAAATTGACAACATAGATCACTTTCGAGAGTGTAGTTTGTTCTACTAAAATATGTAAAAAACAATTTCACCGCGAAAAAAGCTTGAAAAGCTCAAAATAATACCTAGCTACTTCGCCACTCATATATATTGCTTGCGCCATTGTTTACGTGTCGCGTGACCAACCAGTTGATGCGGGAGGAATTTGCATAGCAACCGACCGCCGTGCATGTATTTATGATAAATGGATCAACTTGTTTAACTCCATGTTGACGTTTATATTCCAATTAAACATGTCACAATTCGCTCCAAAGATAAGCCCTGGATGAATGGCTCTATTCGTAGAGCTATTCGAAAACGTAATAGACTCTTATCTGTTTATTCAAAACATAAAAATACAATAAGATGGGAACGATACAGAATTCAAAGAAGTTTTGTTGTAAGTCTGATTCGACAAGCAAAATGTGATTATTTTTCAAAAGTAAATTCTGATTTAGGTAACCCTGCGATATCCTCTAAGAAGTGGTTGAAACTCTCCAAATCGCTGCTGAGTAATAAATTTCACTCCCCTGTGCCGGATCTGATTGTCAATGAAAACACCATTTCTGAACCAAAGGATAAATTAGAGGCATTTAACCAGTTCTTTGTTAGTCAATGTTATCTTATTAACGATGATCATGCTGTTATGCCATTGCTTAGTATGTCGACACGCTGTCGATAATAGTTATTGATGAAATTGAAGTTTTTAATATTTTAAATAATTTGGACGTTTCTAAGGCTTGTGGATTTGATAATATTAGTAATACTAGAAGATACTAACGCAAGGAAAGTGCTGCCTCGCGGCAAAAACTTTGGGTTCGGTTGTTCAAAACCTGTTTATAATCCGTGGATAATTCAAAACATGACACTATTATAATTTTTAAACAATGAAAATCGTATTTTATTGTAACAATCGCGTGCATATATGTTACAACAATATTCTAATTATCTAAAATTAAGAAAACAGTTCTCTGTAATGAAACAGGTCATTTTCTGAGCACTTCAAACACTGATAGTAGCTAATAAAAATTAAGTAATTATGGGTAATTCCACGGTTTATTTCTCCGACAATATATGCATAATGTGATCCGCAGGGCTACCTCCACACATTTAGCTTTTATGCGATTGTCACTAAGGTTAATTGGCGGATTTTGCAATATTCTTAGACACAAAGTCAAGTGTGGTCACTTCTAGAGTAATAACCTGGAATGAGTATGTGAACATTCATGATTTACATTTTGATAACATAGGCATAGCACGTACAAAATATTTTATTTAGATTTTCCATTGTATGGCGATTTCAAAATTATAAATTGCAATTCAATAACAGGACATGGCCATTCCAAATTTGCGTAGGCAGATTTTATCGCATTTATAGAATGTGTTGAAAATGTTGTATTATTACCAGCTGTAACTGTTTATCAAAGCAACAGGCTGCATGGGGTTAACAATACTTTAAATATTTATTCAAATATCTGTACTTATCGATTCTTACTTTGTTTACAAACTTTCAATAAAGTGAAATCGACAACTTTCATTGTATTTTTTTAGGTGTTACATGTAAAATATGTGTCAATCATCATCGTTATTAAAATTATTGCAAAATGCAAAGTGGGCGGAAGGCGCTTTTGACAACATTTTCATCAGACCTACGTTACGACCTTCGTCGACCCGCGAATTTTAGGGCGGGCGAAACGAAGGTCTGTTTTCAGGCTACGAAATTTGATACTATAGGAACTGATGTTTGTGCGTTCGAAGGCGATCTGTAAATCAGCGCAAATTGAATAACTCACAAGAGAATTTTTCAGACTCAGTAAATGAGTAAATGAATAAATGATCAGTTGAACCGTGTCTTGCATGCCTATAAATCAAACCATGAAACATGTTGGCACACCATTGATTCAGCACCCAAGGCAAAGATTAAAACCGTAGTTCAATTTTAAAAAACCTTTATATCTCATTTCAGAATTCACTACCTATGCATGTAATAAACTGTAATATTATAGTTCAGATCATACATTTAACTGCATTTATAGGTGTATAAAGGATCTTATGTCAGACCTGGAGTTACCGATGTTGATTCGAAGATGGAATAAAAAGTACAATGGTCCATATGGTCACAGATGATACATAATACCAGATGAATCACTCAGCCAAAATTGTGTCCGCGATTTTTTATGAGCACGCGTTGGCCGCCATTTTGGCAGTAAGTGTAATCCACGCCATGAAACGTGAGTAATCACGCATTTTGACAGTAAGCGCCATTTTGGCAGTAAGTGTCGCATGCGTCATTTGGCGTGATAGCCTGGCGAAAATCGCGGACAAGAAAATCATAGGGATAGGCATAGAGTGATTAATCTGGTATAATCTATCGTCTGTGATATGGTGGCACAATATGAACGGATGAACTATCTAAAGAATGTGTATTGCCGATTTTGAATTACAGGACCCAAAGGTCAAATGTGTCGTTTTATGTCAAGGGAGAGGAATTAGGGATTATCAACTGTTTTCTACTAAATAACTAATTCTCTATTGTACGTGCAATTTCAACTGATTTGAACATTTAGGAAAACTTTAAACTATAAATCGCAGAATTTGTTTGAATCACACTCGGCCTCAGTCTCAGGACAGAAATTTCAAATACTTGATAACTGCAATAAGTTGTAGATCATATGTCAATGCATTTAGTTGGCGCTGCAATGCAGTGACAATAAATTGTATAGATCATATGTCATTGCCGTTAGTTGGCGCCGCAACTGCAGTGCCAATAAGATGTATATTATATGTCAATGCCTTTAGTTGGCGCTGCAATTGCAGTGCCAATAAGTCATAGATTTTATGCAAATGCTTTACAGTTGGCGCTGCAATTCCAGAGCCAAAATTAAAAAAAATTATGTCAATGCTTTGCGTGACTGTAAACTATTTATTTTGTATATAATTGTCAGAATGGTGCTAAAACGGCTATTAGTAAAACCAGGAACAACGGAACACCGGAACAGCATCATTTCGGAACACGGAACACCGGAACACTAAAAATTCTTAATTTGTTAAAAATTCGGGAAAAAATACCGGGGTGTGTGAAAGTATTGTTGCAATAATTATTGCGTAAAACGTGCCTTTTTAATTTTCTGACTTGGCTGACGATAGCTACTAATAACGAACAGAAATCCTCGCAGAAATCAGTCTCAAAGTAATAAATATTTGCCCGAAAAATTGAAATCAAACCTAGAATTGTTATTTGTTGAGAATAAATGGCCCATCTTTGTTTGTTGT